CACATAGAGGCCAAGAAGTCTGTGAAATGAGTACTTTGATGTGTGAGCATGATGTAGTAACAGCTATCTATATTCTTGTCTCTTACTATCATTAAAATACAGGAATGTACTACTATTTATGAAGTTTATTCTTGTTGATATTCGTGCAATCATCATAGTATCAGTAGTACACTCAAAATACCAATATTAGTAGTAGTAATTCTGCCCAGACAGCACTCACTTTGGCATCAATATGTCTTTGAAATGAATACTTTGTTGTAACAACTAAATACATTCTTGTCTCTTATCATTAAAGCAGAGGAATGTATTATTTTATGAAGTTTACTCCTGTTGATATTCCTGGAATGATAGTACCAGTAGAAGAACACTCAAAATACCAGTATTTCTAGTAGTGATTCTGCCCACACAGCACTCAGTTTGAGTCAATAAGTCTGTGAAATGAGTACTTTGATGTAACAGCTACTATCTATTCTTCTATCGTTAAAATACAGGAATGTATTACTTTATGAAGTTTACTGCTGGTGTTTCTGGAATGATAGCTAGTAGTAGTATCAGTAGTAGTACTAGGACACTCAAATTACCAGTACTACTGCTAGTACTAGTAGGAATTAGTAATTCTGCCCACACAGCACTCAGTTTGAGGTCAATAAGTGTTTGAAATGAGTACTTTGATGTAACAACTATCTATATTCTTGTCTCTTGTCATCAAAATACAGAAATTTATTAAATCAGAGATTTTTCTGAAAATCTCTTCAGGCTAAACCTCCTGTGGAGACTCAAATCCTACCCGAAACAACAAAGATTGAAATACAGGAAAAAAATTCATTTCTTTCCTCAAACCTTCCAAAAAAGTGAATACAAAACAGTCCCAACCAAAAATACTACCAAACCATCACATAGTACTACTAGTACTAGTACTAGTACTAGTCATGGCCAGCCATTCTCTTCTTGCTGCCATCCTCCTGCCTGCTGATCTTCCTTGATGATGATGTTGCTGCTGCTGCTGCTGCTGCTACTACTACTACTACTACCAGAGTAGTAGGAACGCTGCTATTACTAGTGCTACTAGTAGTGCTAGTATCAGGATCACACTAGCACCACTTCTTCCACCAGTGCTGGTGATAGAAGAACTACTAGTACTACTACTTCTTTGTCTTGTTGTAATGGTTGACTTCTGGTGGTTGGTGGAATTGGCTCCTGCTGCTTCTGCTGTCACCTATTGTACTTGTCTGCTGGCATCCCATTTGCTTCTGCTGATGTCAACTACTTGTTGTCTGATGTTTACAGGTTCTACTAGTACTAGTACTTTCTCTTGTCTAGTAATGCTTTCTYTGATGACACAAAAAACTCCAAGCTGGTGACCACGTCTCTAATTTGTGTGAGAAGCAAGACAAGAAATTAGAATATTTTCACCAGCAGGATTCAATCATGATSATCCTCCTCATGAATCCTAGTACTAGTAGTAGCAGTAGTAAAAGGCCAAAGACTTGCACATCATCATAATTCTTCAGAAAACTGCTGTAAAGCCCAAACCATCAAAGTCCTCAAGAAAACCTGTGCTGACTTTTCAGGGTAGTACAACAAAGCAGCATTATCAAGAATTAATGAAAGACCATGATTAGAATTTCACTTGTGGTTACATCTTGCCCTGCTAGTTTTGTAGTTGTCATGAATTCCTACTGATGGCAGCAGTCCATGATAATTGCCACTAGTACTAGTAGTCTTCTTGCATGTGACAAGTTCATTGAAAAAGAATGTTACTRAAACTAGGTATGTAAATTAAAACAGGTCACTATGGGAATGCTTGTGTAGCAGGAGAAGCAACAAAGGAAAGGAATCAAGGGAGTCATCAGGGATTACTAAGAATACTACTAGTAATGCTAGTACTACTACTAGTAGTACTACTACTACTGTCATAGTAGTACTAGTAGTAGTAATGAACAAGATACCAACAAGAAGGCAAATGGATTGCCTTGTTGCTGTGTGAAGAAGAACATACTAAGAATAATTTCAACCAGCATCAGATACAATAATGTATTTCAATGAATTTTAATGTTTATGTTTGTTGTATTTTCTGCAAATACTACTGCTACTAGTATTGTTTTTGTGGTAGTACTAGTAGTGAGTGGGATATAAGTAGTATTGAAGTACTAGTACTACTAGCAAGCAAGAAAAAAWTATTTTTTGATCAATTTTGGGGACTGACAATATATCATGCAACAGGGGAAAGCTAACACATGATTGTGTTGGGTAAGGTAACTTTTAGTAGTAGTGGTGCAGTGACCCAAWTTATACTGAGGTCCAAGGAGCATTAGTAACAAGGCTGTCACAAAGGTTCAACTAAAATTTCTTCTATTTGCTAGTACTAGTACTTATTAACAACTAGTACTTTTAGTATAGGTATMCACATTAATACACATACACACACACACATGCATCATGTAACATCATAAATTCTCAACTCTTGAAAAATAAAGTTCTTTGTTCACCAGCCATTTTGGACCTTGTTTATTCACCACAGCACCAAGCATCCTCATCTGCTTCTGTCAACTCAAGAAACTGTGCCAAATCAAGGTGTATCTTCCAAAATGATTCCCACTCTGGATCCCAGTAATGGGTTTAGTGGTAGCCATAGACAATGATTTATCTGTTGCATTTTGCATGGTGCTCATATTGCGAAGTTGTGGTGATTTCAGCACTACAACTAATATTAAGAGTGCTGCTGGTATTGTTTAAAAAAACACCAACAACATTTCCACMTCACACCTCTACCACAACAAACCTCTTCAGTTTAGTGTGAACATCACATTGTTCTTGCATTCATTTCCTTTCATAAGTTGTATTCATACAGAAAATCCCACAATATTTTTGAATGAAACATGATGTTTGCTGCTGGGTATGTGCCACAAAGAAACTAATTTGTTTCTTGTTGCTTCTTGTGGCAATGTTAGTAGTACTGGTAGTTTCTGTTTTAGCATTAATTATCATTGCTTTAAGGACTTAGATTTGTTACAACAACAACAACAAGTTCCATTTTTGTAGCTTTAATACCAGTAGTAATATATAGTAATCTTTGCTACCAAGTTTTCACAATGTTTGAATAAATTCACATGTTTTGTTTCCTTCAATACCATTGTTYAAATCATCAAGAAGCTCCCTGAGATTCATCATCTTTATACCTATGGATTGTTTTTTCAAGTTCAACAAATCCAACTTGTTCCTTCAACTAACCTTTTTTCTCTTCAAAGTTAAAAATCTGTTTTCAACTACTGGCACTTGGTGAGCGAGTCTCCTGTTCCTGCTACTTTGAATTGTTTCAATTCAGCTGCAAAGACAATGGGTATTGCCATAGCAATGATATGGTGGCTTATCACATAAAAAGTTGAGATACTCATTAATTGTTTCCAACTGTTTGTTAGTGTAAATAGTTGAGATACTCATTAATTGTTTCCAACTGCTGTTTAATGGTACAACAAGAAGCTAAGAAGAAATGATATCTCACCATCTACATCAAGGACAACAAGACAAGCCTAATTTTTTGATGCATCATCCTGCAGAACATCAACTTTGCCACAATCCACTACTAGGCAGCACTAAGCTTTATTCGTTAAGTCTCCCCGACATTGACATGAACCACTGCTATACCACCAGTCATAACTCCTGTGACAGCAAGAGTTATGATGTTAAAAAAATCATTCCCATTTTCAAGCTTCCACCAGTACACCCAAAGTTTTTGATAGCTTCTACTCAACCATTGGTCTCTCTCTCTCTCTCTCCTGTTGTTGGACGGAACTATTAGTAATCACTTATTTGTAGTTTGATAAAAAGCAGTTCTTGGTAAAATTTTTGGTTTCATTATTTGGATTGGATGAYTTCTAACAAATGACACCTGGTGCTGCATCAACATTGTGGTGAAATAAAATACTATGCTAGAATCAAGTTATATTTTGGGTAGTTCAAGCAGTGATCTTCCAGATTTGCAAGGAGCTAAAGAGAAAATTTGCAGCTAATTGTATCCCTCTGTAATTTTTTTGAGCTTGATCATRTATGATGATACTGACCATGTTGTCAACAAAATCTACCTGAAGCTCCTCATGAAAGAAACTACTACTACTAGCAGTACTAGTATGACCAACAATTTCATAACTTATTTGAGAGCAGCACCCATCTGTCAAAGGATTTTGTGGAACTTGTTCTTGAGCACCTTTTAACCTTCCTGATTTAACAAATCTTCTATAATGATCTGAGCAGGTGGCAGAATCTATGGAAAAGAAGCTAAGAAGTACTAGCAATTGGAACAGCACCAGCTGYATGTCAAAAATTTGTACTAGCTACTACTAGTACTAGTATTGATGACAGATTGTAAGGGATGCTAAACRAGTAACAGGAGGTTCATTGTTATGGAAATGCAATCAAACTAGCAATAAAAACTTGACACTATTATGAAGGGGGAGATTAAAAAAACTGGATTATGGTGGAAAGAAAGTACTATATTCATTCTTTTTGCTAATTGCTGATGTATGGGGGATTACTTGCAGTACTACTAGTAGTAGTAGATTGTGTTTCCAGCATTAACATTGTTATTAGCAGCATTGGATGCATGCTGCATGGAATGACACATGATTTTGCAAGGGGGATGATGTTCCATCATATTCTTGCTGAGAATTTCTTGTTACTACTGGTGATCATAGCACCAACAGCTTTTTGTTCTTCTTGACAGAGGAGCATGAGAATACTACTACTAGTGTAGTTGTGACATTCTTGGAAGCCACTTGGTACAGTCTTTTGAAAAATGAATTGTGATCCTTTAGGCAGTAGTACTACAAGTTCTATAATGGGTGTTCCTAGTACTTGAAGGCATACCAASAACAATTAGATCCTTTGGAGACAATCTGCTTACTTGTTCATCTCTAAGCAAGCAAGAGTAACAAAAGCATCATCAACCTTTTTCTCCCCCTTCTCCTTTTTGCAACTGTTAATACTACTACTACRCTTCTGGTCTTGCTTTGACACCCCTCAGAGCAGCTAGTAGGAGCATTCTTCACACCTGTCAAAGTTATGCTTCTGGCCAGCATAYAGTGCATCTTCTAGTAGTAGTTCACAAGGTAAAACATAATATTAAGATTTTTTGGGTTACTACTACTACTACTAGTATAACTACTAACAGATGTGTTACACATCCTCATAAAAATGGTCTAMTCTCCATCATCTGGAGTTGAAAACCCATTACTAGTACTAGCTGATAGCTGATTGCATGGTTGGAGGTCTGGATATAGATAGTACTAGCAAACTTGTCATAACAGTCTACCACTATAAACTCAGAATAAGCTACAAATAGAAAGTTCTGCATTCTTATAAGAAACGCAATAGAGTGATAGTACTAGTAACCAACAGCTTGCACAACTATGATCACATCACATGTGCCCATGTTATTGTACTGGAAATGTCATCCTTTCCCTTTAATTTSACTTGCTTATCTTGAACCAACATATTGAGTGGACATTATATTGACTTTGATATTCTGAGAATCACACATAATCAGAATAAATCAAGTTTGTGTCACCACTTTGGACCAATAATTTGAAATAATGTTGTATATTTTCAGATGGATAATTGTACTTTAATGTTTTTAAATGCATAATTGTACTACTAATAGCGCCATTATCATTGGTTGGGATCACCTCTAGTAATACATCATCTGGTGCTACCTTTATGATAATTTGTGGAGTGCATGCACATATAAARCTGCCAGCAGGAGGTTTTCAAATCAAGAATGCATAAAAAATGGAAGTTCAAATATGCATACTAGTACAACAGACAAACAAACAAAACAAAGATATTAGTATTCTTATTTAACATTGTGAACTGAGAGGCACACACAAAGGGCCAGACCATCACATCTAGGGAGAATGATRCTCCTACCAGTAGCAGGGGAGCACAGCACAGCCAGGAAGCTAAAAAGATCAAATCTCATTTGTAAAATGAGAAAATCCAGAGTTTTCATTACAGTAGTCATTATCCTTGAAAAGTACCAAATATAAATCTTGTTCACTAGTAGTATCCTTCAGGGCTATTTCAATGGATGCCAGTAGGCAGAAAATTGTATGTGAGGGAAAACATTCTTCAATTCACCATACTAGACTTTCCTGGTGGGCATCATGGTTTCAAATTGATAAAAACATAACATATCATTGGCTTCAAGACCATGGAATAATGAAAGTTGAGCTTTGTTCATGCTAAGAAGCTCCAGTAGTAGATGCTTTCAAGGATCTTTGTTTAGAAAATTTGAACTGCTGCCACCAACTTCTTACACCACCAGGATTGTTCTTCTTATGATCATGAAGACGAAGAACAAGAAGAAGAAGAAGAAGAGGAACAGGAAGAACAACAAGAGGAGCAAGAAGCTGCTAGTACTACTAGTAGTACTACTACTATTGCCAGTACTACTAGAGTTTGGCACCATCAAGAAGATCACCAGAGTTTGCAAGGTTGTAGTAGTAGTAGTAGTAGTAGTAGTAGTAGTAGTAGTAGTAGTAGTAGTAGTAGTAGTAGTAGTAGTAGTAGTAGTAGTATTAGCGCTAGTAGTATGACGTAGTAGTAATAGTACCGATTCACTCAAATAGTACCGTAGAAAAAGTAATGGAATCGCTATGAGAAGAGGAAAGAAAAAATATTTTCGATAATTTTTTGGTCACGGGCATGCTACCGGTAGCAAGTCGAGCACAAAGGAACCGTAGGTTCGCCTTAATGCGGTACGATGCGTAAGTATCGTGGTACGACGAATGTTCGGGCATTCAGCACATGCGATGCGATGCGACACGATACGACCGATGTATCTGTATTACTTCTAGTACGTACGAGTACACGTACAGGAATTTACCCGTTGATAGTTACTGTGAGTTGTACTGTATTTAGTATTTAGGGAGCGATGCTGTGATTCCGTTGCAGTAATGCCGAAAACCAAAAACTTTTTGTTTTGTAGCGAGACCCGACAAAAACCAGAYTTTTAACCCATGGCACCGTCATGTAAGCCGATGGCGCGCGAATAGAATGCTGTACTGTACAGCAGCRCCCGCAGTTTACAGTGGCAGTTGTGTTTTGTACGTACTCGTACGGTTACACCCTCTGCTGAACCTACCTTCTTTCATTTCCCTCTATTTGAGCCACGATCGGTGGAAGTGGACCCCAGTCAAGATTRCKGTACGGCAACAAACACAAAGGAAGAATCATCGTCGAATAAGGTCAACTAATCATACAATCACAGGCAGTATCCGTGAATCTACCAGAGCTAAGAAAGCAGAAAAAATCGATCGATTCGATCATTTCAAACGTCGATCCGTCTTTGAGTGAAAGTTAGGTKAAACAGATAATCCATTCATCGAAATTAGCAAGGAAGGCAAGATGAATCCGCACCTCGGCTCGGAACCAAGTAATGGCGGCGAAAAAGAAGAACTCTCCTCTTTCACAAAGATGTCTTCCTCGGATCTTCGCACCAAGTCGAAGAAGAGTAAGAAGAGCAAGAGAAATAAGAAGAGCAAGAAAAAGGATAGGATCAGGAGCAAGTCAACTGACGACATCACTCCCAGGAAATCTCGCCGGAAAAAGCAAGAACAGACACAGACGCCACGTCAACAACATTCGCAAGCACGTTCGCGTCGGGCAAACCCGATGTCCTCAAAGAAGCACCGGGCGGATCTTCCCACCCTGGAGCGATGCTTGTACGGAGCAAAACGAAGGAGCCCGTTTATCCCAGACGATTGCGATGCCAGTGGTCGACTCGATTCCGGCGATACTGATTCTCACGACATAGACATGGCAATGTTGCGCAAGATCTGTAGCCACGGAGGCGGAATACCCGAAGAAAGTGAAGAAACTTGTGATGCGAACAATAGAAGTGACGACGATCCAAGCAGCAACGCCCCCCAGAAAGGATTCTGCCAGCGGGGGGTTGTATGGAGGGTGCTTCTGGAGCAGCTGTCAGATGGCGACATCACTAGTTCGTGGCCCTGGGAGGTCCCCCTGCAGCGAAAGCTGTACCGGGATCTGGTGAACCAGTACCTTGGAGACGCGAACGATCCTGGAAAGAACCTGAAGGACATTCGACACTTGGAAAGTGACCGCAGAAGCAGCCGCCACGATAACAATAATAGAGATAAYAGAGAGGAACAGAGCAAGGTAGAAACTCCACAACTAATAAGAGAAGAGATYGAAGATAACGATGACGAACCATCGGAATGCTCATCGATTGGAGACGAGTTTGATCTGGATGCGCCTCTCTCTTCTATGTTTCTTTCTCCGAAGGCTGCTACCGTTTCCAACACCGACGACGAAGGTGAAACTGAAACCAACAAKGCCGTAAAYAGCAGCACGCGCTGGTCTGAAAGCAAGAGTTTGGACTCGGCACAYATACGGGTGACGGAGGATATCTACGACGGGTTTTCGCCGAATTCAAAGTACCGGGAGATGTGGAGGCGATCCGGGATCACCCTCAACAAGGGGCACTCGGCGGCCGCAATCGGCATGAACCATCTCAAGATTCCCGAAGAATTGTATTGCGACGATAGCGACGACGAGGGCGAATTTGCAGAAAACGAAACATTGAACGACTCAACAACAACATCAATCTCAATCGATAACAAAAAAGACCGACTTTTTGAAAGGTACTGCAGGGATGCCAAGCTACTGGAAGAAATTCGCAAAGACGTTGTAAGGACGCATCCCCAACTGCGCTTCTTTCAGGAACCTAGACACAACCTTGGAATCCGGAGGCACGCTGCCATCGAGCGGGTGCTCTTTGTCTGGGCCAAGCTGAACGGCAATCTCTATGTGCAGGGGATGAACGAAATCGTCGGGACTATCTATTACGTTCTGGCCAGAGATCGGTGCACATCGGTTTCGGTCGGGAACAAGCGCCACTGTTGGGCGGACCACGCCGAAGAGGACACGTACCATTTGTTYCACGGCCTCATGACCAACATGGACATCCGTGATGTCTTTGTTGCGGACCTCGATCACGACGGAACAGTCGGGCTACACGCAAGGATTCAAAAGATCGAAGACTTGTTGGCACTGCACGACCCGGAGGTCCACCACCACCTCACGAAATACCTGGGATTGAGCTCGAGCTTTTATGCCCTCCGGTGGTTGACCACGCTTCTCTCGCGGGAATTCCCACTGGCAGACACTATCCGGCTGTGGGACGGCATGTTCGCCAGCACCCACAAGGAAAATTTTCTGCGTTACGTTTGCGCATCAATGGTCATGGCCATCCGGGACAGGCTCTTCCGAGGGGACTTCGGGACTTGCATGAAGCTGCTGCAGAACTATCCTAGTGGGGACATTAGCATGGACGAGCTCCTAGAATCCTCCCGGGCGCTTTGGATCTACGAGACACARATCTCGCTGGCCCGCCAAAARGGGGGGGTATCCCTCCATCACGCTCTTTCCGTTCTCCCCCCACCTCCCGGAATCATAATGGCCTTTGGGAGGCCGGGGCGTGGCCAGGAGGCGAGTACCGCAAGCTCCGGAAGCAGCTGGTTGCCGAACCAAAACTCGACCACGGATGCGGTGGGCGAAATGACCCTGGGTGCCGCGGCGGTCGCCAATAGGATGATGGGCCGGGCCAAGCGCATGTGGAACTACGGATGGAACGGCAACACTACCGAGGGCGACAARCAGGACAAAGCCAACCACAAAAACAGCAGCGGCACCGAAAACGAAAAGGGYAATAGCAATACGACCAAAACGAGCAGCGGTGCGAGCGAGGAAAACCTAGGTTGGGACCTCATCGATAGCATCATCGACGGCGATGGCAATGTTGATGGAACTACCTCCGGCACCGGTGCGACCCACCAAGGTGCGGTGGCCCCCGGCAACCGCAACCCAGGTTATCAGGAACCATCCTATTCGCTTTTAGGCTGGCGTGGTAGCAACGAAACCAATAACGGTGGCAACAACCCTTCCGGGAACAACCAGAATCGCAACAACAACAATACCGATAATTCCAACAGCAATGGTCGCTTTTGGAGTCGGATACGCCGGAAGAGCATAGCATAGAATAGTCCAATGCAGTTACCTGGCCRTAAATGGAACGGACACAAATCTGATGAGAATCATAGGGTATCCAATGGCCAACCTGTTTCGCACTTGATGCACTGGTTGGTCTATCTATATCTCTTTCTAGAACACAAAGATATCGAAGGTCGATTCGAGTCGGTCCGAATGGAGTTGAATTGAATTTGAATCAACCATTCGAACTTGCCATCGCTTCGMACGGATCCGAAGTGTTCGCGTTGTGTTCCAACGATGAACAACAATTCGAGGTTTCAATTTCGGGGCAGAAAGGATCAGCCATCTCCTTTGCCGCATACTCCTGTTGTACATTTATGAGTATAAATTGCAGCGGCTCCTTGAAATCGAACAATTCTGCACTGCCAAMGCCTAGCTAGACGGAAGGTGCAACCTACGACATAAGTGTCTATCTGCCCTTGGGTATGGTTGAAATTTCGTGATTGCATAGAAACGAAACATTTATAATATTTTGTTACATCACAGCGCACTTTTTGTCTTTCTCATAGAAGCCGCAACGAATGCTTTCCGTCCCAAATTCACGTGATTTGTCTCGTCTCATTTTCAGCGTTTTAACCGTAAAGTCTATTTTTATATACCGAAAAAACGAACACCACAACAGCAGCTCAGTAGCTCAGAGGTAGAGTGTTGGGCTCATAACCCAAAGGTCCGTGGATCGAAACCACGCTGAGCTAAGCGAAAGCGCGACATCGTGGCCGAGTGGTCTAAGGCGCCAGATTTAGGCTCTGGTCTTCGTTGGCGCAGGTTCGAATCCTGCCGATGTCATTTTTGCTGTTCCACGCTCACAATCATCCTTGAGTGCTTTACGTTTTCCACCCCGAGAGCCTTGTTGATAATCAAAGCGAAGTCTCGAGGGTCGGTCGGCTCAGTTCATGGGGTGTCCTACAATACATGAGGGGAATACGGTACGGTACTGTACCGTATGGAGAAATACCGAATACCGGTATGGGATTTGTAATTTGTATGGTACCATACCATGTACCGTACGTACCGAACGTAGGTTTTACATGTATCTGCGGTTCTAGAGAGCCGTTGCTTTTTTGTTCGTTCGCTCGTTTTTAGAACGGTGGTTGGTGGCATTGGTCTCACTAATAGCTTATCGGCGTCAATTTTTTTGTGGAGCACGTGCATTGAAAAATCTGTTGATAGAAAGTCTGCAATGGTACGTATACAGGCCTATGATTTACTGTAGGATAGCATTGGAAGTCGGAACCAGAACCACAAGTTATCTACATACCGTACGAAAGCTCATAAGCGTGCAATCTTATGGCAACAACCCCTAGTTCAGACAACCGAAGATACCATTTCAAAAAGTACAGTGCACGGCACGAGTTNGCATAATAAAATTTTATTGTCGGTGAGGTTACATTATTTTTATTATTGTGCGGCGATTGCACAAATAAAAAGAGGCTATGCCCCTTAAGTAGATTATGTCTATTAGATTGGAAAAATGAGGTGGCGCGCGCATTCACATTGCGCATAAGTGTTGAGTTTAGTCAAACGGGACTGATCAGACCTGGAATCGGGCGCTCTCCTGGAGTGCTTTACGTTTTCCACCCCGAGAGCCTTGTGGATAATCAAAGCGAAGTCTCGAGGGTCGGTCGGCCCAGTTCATGGGGTGTCCTACAATACATGAGGGGAATACGGTACGGTACGGTACCGTATGGAGAAATACCGAATACCGGTATGGGATTTGTAATTTGTATGGTACGAGGAACGAAACCTAATGTGTGGACGGAATCTAAGATAGGTTATGAGTACAAAAAACGCGCCAGTTTTTTAGCAGTGAGCCCCTGTCTTTGCTTGCTTGTTATTTCTAGCAAAGGACCAATCAGAGATAGAGAATCCATTAGTCGGAAAGAGTTTTCCTTTCTCTTCAGTTTGATGTGCACATTGCTATGTGAATTTAATAGAGAACGATATCGGGCTTGTTGATTTCTCTGCGCACGAAAAATGCAAAAAACTCTCATTTCATCAACCTCATCATAGGGACCTGTCTCACCTTCCAGATAGACCATTAACAACACTCTCCTGTCCACACACCCACCGGAATAACTTCATTATAACAAGGGGAAGGGGATCCGTAAGTAGCGGATCGATCGACCGAGTGCTTCAGGAGCAACAGTACATCCAAGAGTTACAGCTAAAATACGACGAAAAATACGAAAAATCGCATCGACGAACTCCACAGTGTAACTAAAACGAATCCACCTTCCCCTCAATAACACAAACAACCAGTGTCCGTAACCTCCTTAATACATCAAAGGAGACTTGATCCCGAAGTATCGTTGCAATCGACCGAGTATTTTGAAAGAAAAAGCAGTTTTTGCTGTATTTTGGGTGTAATTTGGTCTGCAAAATGAACAACAACACCAAGCAGGCCCCTGCAGGGGAAGGAACGCTACAGGAATCCGCACCAGCACCACGCGAATCGACGGCAAGGACATTGGAGAGGATGGGGTTGATTACTGGCACCATCAGGAACACTCCTGAAAAGAACACTCCTGAAAAGAACAAACAACAGCAACAAAAAAGAACAGCGTCGACTATTCCTGTTGGGTCTGTGGCAAATGGATATGCTGTTCCAGTATGCAAGCGCACGAAAACAGCGGCAGGAGCTTTGGTTGTTGCCAAGCAGGGGAAGCAAGACTGTTCCATCAGGAAAGCTATGGAGTTTGCAAATTTCAATGATGAGGAATGCAGCAATAAAGCATTGCAGAAGAGAGTTGTAAGATGGAGGGACAAGCTTGAGTTGGATATGGCTCGTGGAATTGCTGTTGCTGGGGTTCCCCTTATACCATCACGTATTGAATTGCATTCACCACCACCAGCTGTATCAGGCCTCACAGGAAGTACGGGCGTTAGTGCTGCAGCAGCTACTAGCAACAACAGTAATAGCAAAGATGACAAGGGCAACGATGGTGGCAACGATGGTGATGTTGGTGAGGGTTCCTCAACTGATGGTCCTCCGAAGAAAAAGAAGAAGCGTAAGCCCCCCCGCACAGCACAGCAATTGCATTGGTTAAAGGTCGACAAGCACAACAAAAATAAGGTGAAAGATACGGCTTATCTCTCTGTTACAAAAAAAATCAAACAAGAACGGGCCCTTGGCAATCTGATGAACGTAACGGCTATGGTTGCTAAAGTGAACAAGTTGTTCAACGTTGAACTTAGTGCAGAAACGGTGCGGAGGCGTGTGAATGCAGGCCTTGAGAATATTCCACCACGTTGGACTTGTGGGCGGCCCTCCACTTTACCGCCAGTAGTTGAGACGGCACTAGCTGATGCGGTCGCATCTTACGTTGCCCTCAGTTGCGCAGAGATGGTTGAGCAGCCCAACGCAAAGGCACTAACAGAGAAGATAGAATCGTGTCTTAAGGGAGGTCCAACTGTAATAACACATTTTGCTAAACTTTATGAACGCCTTTCCCATTTATTTGCGCCTCATCTTTCTGTTGTGACAGGATGCTCAAGAATTGAAGAGCGAAGAGCCAAGTGGACCACGTACAACAATATTAATATGTGGTTCAGTACACTTAAGAATAGGTTGATCTCTGGAGGATGGGCAAGAGCAAAGACCTCTAATGACGGTGATGTTGATGGGGAACTCGTGTTCTTTGACGGCCAACTCAATCGGATATTGAACTTAGATGAGAGTGGCTTAACTCTTGACGGTAACCATTCTTTGTCCGGCGGCCGATCCTCTACAAGATTCTGCTCATCGAATCAAGCTATTGCATGCGGTGCGGATAGAAAAAACAAAAGCAGTGTCCGTGTTACATTTATAGCGGGGAGCACTGCAGCAGGCCATCCGTTGCCGCCGCATTTTCAACTCAGATCAATGGCGGAAGACGCAGACAAAAAAATACAGGAAGATTTCATAAGAGGCGTGCCCAAAATCAAAGGCGTTTATGGCAACAATTGGCTGACTGAAAACGGCATCACAGTAAACTGCAATGCAACAGCTGGAATGGATGCAAAGGAATTTCATCAGTTCATGATGGATTCGATCGTGAAGCTTTATCCTGATGCCGCTGATCTGCCTAGGAGAAGAGTCCTCATCATCGTTGACAGTGGTCCAGGACGAAAGGACCTCCAGTTATTAGCGAAGCTCAAAGCAAGAGGATTCTATTTGCATCCTGGTGTACCCAATACTACGCATGTTACACAACCCACCGACCAGAATTATGGACCGTTCAAGTCACTGTATCGACTTAATTTGGAGACTCTGGTTAGTTTCAGGAGACAACAAAAAGACAACGTGAGGCAAAACGATTTCCCCCTGCTCGTTTTTGGGAACCGCACTATGTCCGCTGAACAAGTTGTTTTGGAGCCAGCCTACCACAAAGCATTCTCAGTTGCGAATTCCAAAGCCGTCTGGGCTAAAATTGGAATTTCACCGTTTACAAGACGATGCTTGGAGGACAGTTAAGTTGCCCATGAGTTGATAGTACTGGAAGATGGTACTATTGACTTGACGACTAATCCCGAAACAGTTGCGTTGATTGAGAATGAAGAAAAGAATTCCAAAGCGGTGGAAATCTTGAATGATGCTGGATTCAATGGTAATGTGTTTCAAAAATATGCACCACGAAAGAGGAAGCATTTGTTGGAGACTGTCACAGTACCCAATTCCCGAGCCTGTCAAGATGCGTTGGCTGATGCGAAATATTCTAGCCAGCAGTTTATCATCACAGGCGGAGACACACTCAACACTGACGACCATTTTATTGCAGAAGAAAGAAAGGAAAGGCAACGGAAGATTAAAGACCTGGAGGCACTAAAGAAGAAAGCTAAAGCAGTATCTGAGTTTGATGCCATGGCTTCCAGATTAATTGAAGAGTATGCCTCCAAGGGGAAAGATGTGAATGAAGAGGAAGATGCAAAGTCCCTACCAGTTTCTACTCTCAAGTTATTGTGCAAATGGAAGCAACAAAAGAAGATTCCTGCAAAGAAGCAAGAAGTGCTTGATCTTTGGCTTGAAGTGAAGGACATGACTTTCCCTACAGAATTTGTTTGGAATGATGAGGATGAGACTGAACTGGAAAGAAGGCTGAAGGAAGATGAGATTACTATTAGGGATACTGCAGTTGGAAGGGAAAGAGCAAGACTGCAGAAAGAATCCCTGAACTACCTTGCAAGCATGACTGAAGAAGAGAGGGCTGCTTGCAATATGCCTTTGAATGTGCTTGAAGGAGTGAAGGAAATGGTTGTTGGTGAAATTGCAGAAGTGTAAGAGGAGCTTCCAGTAGTAAGTGTAGTAAGTGATTTATGTTGAGAGAAATCCGTTCTTGGAATCGATTTCGATTTCGATTTTATTGCATGCAAATAAGCAGTGTCCGGATGTCGATGTCGTTTCGCCGACGTGAATTCTGAGAGGAAAAAAGCTCCGTGGAGCTCGGAAAGCTCCGACGAGCCCAGAAATATAAGAGTCGTGAAGCCCAGTAGTTAGCGACTTAGAGAGCGCTCCAGTAGTTAGTAAGCGATTTATTTATTTTATGTTAAGAGAAATCTGTTCTTGGAACTGATTTCGATTTCGATTTTATTCCATGTTAATAAGCAGTGTCCGGATGTCAACTTCGTTTCACCGATTCGAATTCTCAAAAAGTGAGCAAAAAAAACAGCTCGGAAAGCTCCGAAATAGCCATTTTCTTCGACAGAAATAGTTTTTTTTCAAGGAGTGAGACAGGTTGAAATTGCGAAACCTAATGAGGTGTATTGTTCTCTCCGTAGAGCCACGTAYATTTTGTACCGACTCCGGACCTGTCTCCACCTCATTAGGTTTCGTTCCTCGTACCATACCATGTACATACCGAACGTAGGTTTTACATGTATCTGCGGTTCTAGAGAGCCGTTGCTTTTTTGTTCTTTCGCTCGTTTTTAGAACGGTGGTTGGTGGCATTGGTCTCACTAATAGCTTATCGGCGCCAATTTTTTTGTGGAGCACGTGCATTGAAAAATCTGTTGATAGAAAGTCTGCACTGGTACGTATACAGGCCTATGATTTACTGTAGGATAGCATTGGAAGTCGGAACCAGAACCACAAGTTATCTACATACGAAAGCTCATAAGCGTGCAATCTTATGGCAACAACCCCTAGTTCAGACAACCGAAGATACCATTTCAAAAAGTACAGTGCACGGCACGAGTTNGCGCGACATCGTGGCCGAGTGGTCTAAGGCGCCAGATTTAGGCTCTGGTCTTCGTTGGCGCAGGTTCGAATCCTGCCGATGTCATTTTTGCTGTTCCACGCTCACAATCATCCTTGAGTGCTTTACGTTTTCCACCCCGAGAGCCTTGTTGATAATCAAAGCGAAGTCTCGAGGGTCGGTCGGCTCAGTTCATGGGGTGTCCTACAATACATGAGGGGAATACGGTACGGTACTGTACCGTATGGAGAAATACCGAATACCGGTATGGGATTTGTAATTTGTATGGTACCATACCATGTACCGTACGTACCGAACGTAGGTTTTACATGTATCTGCGGTTCTAGAGAGCCGTTGCTTTTTTGTTCGTTCGCTCGTTTTTAGAACGGTGGTTGGTGGCATTGGTCTCACTAATAGCTTATCGGCGTCAATTTTTTTGTGGAGCACGTGCATTGAAAAATCTGTTGATAGAAAGTCTGCAATGGTACGTATACAGGCCTATGATTTACTGTAGGATAGCATTGGAAGTCGGAACCAGAACCACAAGTTATCTACATACCGTACGAAAGCTCATAAGCGTGCAATCTTATGGCAACAACCCCTAGTTCAGACAACCGAAGATACCATTTCAAAAAGTACAGTGCACGGCACGAGTTCAATACTGTATTAGGTAGAAATAGAAGTTGAGTACTATTGTAATTCTAGTTGTGTCTCATCCAATCCGGCGACTATTCTTGATAATCAGTACCGTACGGCATCGAATACCCCGAACGACACGATACGACACGACACGATACGATACGAAGATACCAGACCGCAATGAGAGGCGTCAAAACCAGCATTGCAAATTCGTTTATCGTTGCCCCATTGTTGCTGTTATCTTGTTTTGTTTCGTTTGTGGTCGAACGAGTAGAAGCGACGGCAACAGAAGCAGCGACACCACAGCCGGAACACGAAGCATCTTGCCCAAACCAGGACACCGGAGACGATGATGCTGCAGCAGAGGAATTCCTGGCCCTCTGGGAGAAATCCGACAGATCACATCCCGTCTATGAAAGCCTCGTCGACCTMTCAGCGATCAGTGCGGCGCTTCACTGCGACGACGACACCGGCGAAGATCCACGCTTCCCCACCGACGCCAACTACGCGCTCATGATAGAAGCCTACGTGCACGCCAGCAAACTGAACCCGAACCCGAGGGGCAGGCCCCCCACCGCCACCGAATACAACCCGGAGGCCTTTTTCGTCCCCGTCGAGGTTCGCGCCAGCAGCGAGATGGGTCGTGGGGTCTTTTCCCTGGGGGACGTTGCCAAGGGGACCATGGTGAACCGCCCGAGCAACGCTATGGAGTTCTACAACAGGGAAACCWTTAGGGATTATATCGYCTATCTGCTACGGAAGCGCTCGCCGCAGCTGATCTGCGACTCCTTTGAGTGGTTCTACKCGACGAAGGCGTCCAGCGAACCCAACGACTACATCATCTGTCTTGATGCGGACGATGCCTCGATGATCAACAGCGCCCACGACTCCCTCTGGGACGAAAGCCAGGACGACGACGACGACGACGACGACGACGGTTTTTCCGGCAAATCCACCAGCGATGGACGCATCATGGTGGAGGAAGACGGCGTTCTCTACGAAGGCGTAATTGACAGCGACGGACGCATCATGGTGGAGCAGGACGGCGTTCTCTACGAATTCCAAGTCGATGGCGACGACGATGGACACCAAGGGGATGCCGAGGTACAGAACAAGAAAGACATCCCGACCGCTGCCGAAATGCACAATACCAACATCGGACAACACATAGTCGTTCAAGCAAACAACAATGTCAGGACGCTATACGGGTGCCAGGAACCTCCGGTGTACGCCCTGAGGGACATTRAGGCGGGGGAAGGTACGATTCACTCATTTGTGTTATATTCTTTTGTTGAGTGCTGTGCTGCGGTGTTATCGTTCGTTGTGCTCCAGAACCAAAAATCGTTTTTGGCAACGATGCTTGCTACTTCCACGCTCGCTCACACACAACGGGCATCGTCTTTTCTCGATTGGATTGAATTGGATTGAATTGAATTGAATTGGATTGGATTGAATTGAATTGGATTGAATTGGATTGAATTGAATTGAATTCCGTTTCGCAACAACAACAGAGTTAAGAATGTCTTACGGCGACTTTTCCGAACCTGAAGGCTTTTGGTTCCTGGGGGTCGAGTACCCGCAATAGCACCAACGATACAGTCATTGGTTGACCGGGCGACCGGCTGTTTGGCAAGCCACAGCAAACAAAACGAAAGCAATCTCGTTTGGTACGTCTTTTGCGAGAGCCCTTCTCTGTGCGCACGAAGCAGAAAACCGGCCGAGAGGGTCCCAGCGGTCATTTTGATATGCCTGTCCTACACAGCCTAGCCAAAGAGTAGAAACCTCTGAGGATGCCTTCCATGTTCAAGAGAAGTAACTAGTCTACTGGCTATTTTACTTAACTAGSAACATTAAGAAATGAATTCCAACCACGCATGCAGACATCATTTGTTMCTATRCTCTTGCACTCATTGACTGTGTTCTAAACCATAATGAATCAACAGGTTAAACTCCCTATGTTTCTAAAGTTCTCACAAATTTCAATTTTACTTTTGTCARCATCAACAAGTGGAATATCAGGGGGCAGTACTAGAAAACAAAGTTAAATGGTGACATGATTGTTCGCTAGCAAAATATAGACTAATTCAAAAAATTACACTACT